GGAGCTTTCTGAAACCCTGAATGACCTGGTTCGTTTTAGGGGTTTTAGAAGGTTCACTGTTGTAATAGCAGCCTAGATCTGCCTTAGGGAGCTTATCGGATCAGGGTCAGAAGTGACACTAACAGCTCATGTGGATAAAGGCTACTGTTGGGAGATGGCTGCATTTTATTGACTTTTCTTCTGGTTTATCTCCAAGCTGATACAGTGAACCCGTGTGTGTGTGTGTGTGTGTGTGTGTGTGTGTGTGTGTGGTATGTGTGCATGCGTGTTTATATGTGCAGTACACATGCACAATGTCATTGGCTTCCTTCCCACAGGTTGGTGATATGGCTCCCTGACATCCCTGATGATATCCAGTGGCTACAGTGGGCAACATCCCAAGTGTATGCCCGCATGACGACATGTCTGCTCCCCTCCACCAGGTAAATAATTTGGCCTAGGGTATGTGGGCCAAATGGGTATCCCTGTTGATCTCAAGCTTGGGTCGTGACTTCCCTAAGAAGTCAGGCTCAGCCACCTGTCCCTCACAGGACAATTAGAGTACTAGTAAAAAACAGAGAAAGGAGATTTATTCACAAATCAAGAGATTTAAGCTTAAACAGAGGTATGCTAAGTAGTCCTCGTCACAGTGTGGCCCTGCCCACCCTTGTCTGGGCTCCAGGCTTTCCTCCAAGGTTCAGGCCAGGCTTTCTCTCCTCAGCAGGAGCCTCCTGGGGAAATCCCAGTTCCTTGGCCTCAACTGTTTCAAAGGTCTGAGAGCCAAAGGGAGGGACCCAACTATCTCCTCAGAGTGCCTTCTCTCCTGCCAGAATCACTGCAAGGTTTGTGCTCAGGCCACACACAACAGTCTGGGAACATCTGACTCAGTGTCAAGACAGTGACGAGGAGGATCCTGAGGGCGACCCTGAGTCCACCAGAAATCCCGAGGCTGATTGTATTACAGTAAAATATAAATAAACATCGCCAGCATACATTGAAAAAAAAAAAAAAAAGAAATCCCGAGGCTGTGGAGGGAGAGGAATGGGAGGGTGGGAACAAAGAAGAGGAGTTGTGGACTCGGGGCACAGGGGAGATTAGGTATTGAGCAGCACTGTTCTGCCTGTGGGCAGGAACCCTGGACAGCCTGGCATGAAGAAGGGGGAGCTTGGAGAGGGTGGCAGTTCCAGTGACTCATGGGAAGTGGTCCAGGAGGAGGTAGGGACAGCATGTTCCTGTGGAAGAAGTCCATGGTTCAGCTGAGGGCTTGTTGATGGGTGAAGCTGTGGCTCTCCACTGGGGGTGTTTAGGCAGTGGAGAAAGACACAGGCTTAGGGGATGGGGACTGTCACCTCAGCACTGAAGGCAGGAAGAAACTGTAGCTCTGGGCTGCACCCCTGCAACGACCAAGTATGTGATGATGGCTCAGTGACTGGCACCACCCTCCCTGCACCTGTTAGGTTTGGGGTGAGGAGTTCAAGAGGACACTGGGCTAGATTATTGGGGATAGCTTATTAGAAGCGTTATTAGTGCCATGGACAGACAGATGGACAGAGAGGCAACGGTGTGGTGGGGCTTCCAGGCAGCTCAGGCCCCAGCACCAGAGATAGACAACATGGGGGCATCTTTGAAAAGGCTCAGTCCACATGGCAGAGGAGGGAACCCCTTCTTAGACCTGTTGAAGCTGAGGGAGGTTCACAGTAAGAAGGTGCAGCCAGGCTCTTTGACTGGCAGGCAGGAGGCAGGAAGGGGGTGGGGAGGATTGACACGCCTTTGATGATGGAGTCTCACTTCTCAGGTAGAGTATCGTGCACAGTGTCCCGGGAGGTTCCTGGGAGGATCTGTGAGGAGACCTGGGCAGAGGCTGAGTTCTAACCACATTCCTACAGAACTGAAGACCGGAGAGCCTTGGGGAAGGGCCTCCAACCTTACTTCCTTCTTTCCGTTCAGATCCCGAGCACTCAAGAGTGAGCAGCAAACATGCAAGCATGGACATCACCCATTGCTACACAAGTCCCAGTGAGGCTCTGCTTGTTTGTAAATTGCTGGCCTCCTGGCTTCCTATGAACTTGGACACTCTCCCTGTGGGAGGGTCCAGGAGGGGCCCGAGCTGAGGCCACCCTGCCTTCCACACCAAGCCCAGCCTGACCATCAGCTGAAGCACAATGTCTGGATGGTGGGTGGTGGTGGGGGGGGACTATATTCTCTGTTTGGTAGTGGGAAGGGTTCTGCTACTTTTGGAGGCATCTATGAAATCACTCTCCGGGAGCTAAGCCCCTGTGCAGCTGCCCCTGGGTGCTGTGCCGTAACCTCACGTCTGTGACCCCAAAACCACAGAATCTGGGCTAAGTTGGTAGTTTATAGACACCAAAGATGATGATTTGGTCTTTAGGAAGCTACTTTGGTCTGGGTGAAGTCTGCTGCTTGAGAGCTAACCCGGAGAGGAAGCTCCAGTCTCTCAGCCTGTGAATGGTGGGGATGACAAGGCAAGCCACGTTTGGAAACAGGAATCCAAGCTGGTCATTCTCATAAGGAAAATTGTTCAGAAGTGTGATGGATGGGGTGTGGCTGTCCCTGAAAAGGGCCTGCCAGTTGAGGGTCAGACAAGGTAACTTATTACATTCAAGGACATTGTTGGCTCTTACTAAAATAGTTTATAGGGAATTTTATATGAGCACACCGGGAATGTGTAGTGAGCTACATGGATGGTCAGTGAGCTGTGAATAGAATTAACCTTAAAATCTCTTGTATGTGGGGGCAAAACAACACAGGTAGGCAGCACAGTGGACCTCTGCCTCCTCACCCTCAATTTGAATCTGGCCTGTTTTCTCCAGTGTCTCCAAATCTCTGTACTGTCATCAATTATCACTGCCTCTCTCTGTTTCCGTCTTCTCCACGGGCCTTAATGGGGAGAGGCAGCCACTTTTCTCAGGTGAATGTATACAGCTGTGGATGTGATGTGTTTCCTGTAATTCACACATTAGATTAGAACATAGAAAACAAAAGCCTCAACAAGGACCTGCTCATACTCCTGAGCACTGGCAGTGAGTGAGGTTCATGTCTCCCGGAGTCCTCGTGAGCTCCAGGTTCACACACACACTTCAGGAGGAATCCTCACACCCTGGTGCACATAATCTTAGCAGGTTGATCCTGATTGAATAGGAGATGACTCTGGGGGGAGAGAATGTGGTTCCAGAGAGAAAGCTTCGAGGCTACACAGAAGAAAAAAAAAAGACTGTCTCGTGGAGAAAACAAACCGGAGTGGGGATGTAGCTCAGTTATTGAGTGCTTGTCTAGCACACTGAAGCTCTGAGTTCAGTCTCGGCACCATATAAACTGTGGTGTGACTAGCAAGCGTATGCCTGTAATTCCAGATCTCAAGCAGTAGAGCAAGAGGATCAGAAGTTCCAAGTCATCCTTGGCTAAATGAGACCCTGCCTCAAAAACAAACACAAAGAAATGGCAGGAGCTTCTCATTAGCAGGGAAGAATATTCCTGCCACCCTATCAAATACAATTTCTGCTGGTGTGGAGCACTGTCGGGAACACCTGGAGGGGAAAAGTTAATACCAGGGAGCAACTTCCTGAACCTGCTAATCAGGTCGCAAAGCTGGTTCACTTGTTAAAAGCCAAGCATGGGTGTCTATGCAAATGGTGTGTCCACAGAAAGACTGAACGCATACATCAAAAGTACCCACAACTGTCAAGGGAAAAAGGTTCATAATCAATGTGAAAAAAAAAACAATAAATATGATCTTTTAAAAACGCATTTCCAGTCTCTTCCTCTCTCATCCTACTGTCAAAAGTGCTGTGCGACAGCTTTCTCTATAGGTTTGTGTCCTCTCCTCTAGGCCTGCATGCTAGATGTCTTCCACACTGCATAACAAATGACCGGGTTATTGCTATATAGCCCAGGCTGGTCCCGAACCCTCCACTCTCCTGCCGCAGCCTTCCCAGTGCCATGTTCACACACACCGCCACACCAGCCTAGAACGTATATTTTCAGTAACGACTGGGAAAGGACAATGGTGTGGTCTCCAGAGCACACTGAGGGACACTGCGGTGATAAAGGGCTGGGTGGGTGTGACTCTCTCAGGCCACAGGTGAAACTGTGTGGACAGCCTTGAAACCTATGAGCACTCCCAGGTAACACAGCCAAGAAAGACATCCAACAGAGGGACAATTGGAACAAAAGTTTGGATCATGGGCAGAGCGCTCCAAACTGAGTCACCCTCAATTTACCTCAATGTAATGATGACATCATAGACTTATTTACTAAGCCAGACTCTGCTCTTGGGAGGCAGAGACAGGCTGATCTCTTTGAGTTTTGAGGCCAGCCTGGTCTACAGAGACAGTCCCAGGACACAGGATAGCCAGGCCTACTGAGAAAAACTGTCTCGAAAAACCAAAACAAAACGTGAGGCGGGGAGGGGTGGGGAGATGATGTAAATTTATTTTAATTGAAAGATAAAGTAAAACCAAACATGTTTCCGGGGAGTCTGCGAAGGCAATCTTTATTGACTCTTTAATTTTATTATATGTGAGGAGATCAGAGGGCAACTTCCGAGTTTGGTCGCTCCTTCCACCATGTGGGTCTGAGGGATTGAATTTAGGCTGTCAGGCTTGGCGTCAAGAGCCTTTTACCTACTGAGCCCGCTCGAGACGCCCCCACCCCCACACTCACCCTTTTTACGGGATCTGAGCGAAAGTGTTACGGTGCTGACCCAAGTTAGGTTCCGTGCCCCGTTCCAGGAGTCTCTCATCCCTACACCCTTAGGTCACACCTTAGAAGAGAAGATGAGGCTCCAACCACTAGGCCGGTGTAAGCCACCTTGAACGAAGGCCAGGTCTGGGCACTCAAAACGGGCTCAGCCCGGTACTCATCCCGTGGATCACTCAGCCCAGATCAACTTTTTGGGCTTTACTACGCGCTCTACGCTTGCACAGGACTTCCCTGTGAACAACATCCGGGTCACTGTCTCATATGGACCAATGAGCGGAGGCTCTTGAGCCAGGGGGCGGGCCCTCGGCTGTGCAATATGGCGATGGTCGGCGCGCAGCTTCCGTGACCTGTAGCCTCGCGTCTGTGCCTGTAACTAAGCTAGGGTGGGCGCGGGCACTTCCGCGGGGCAGCAGCCGGAGAGGGAGCCATGGGGACAGTGCACGCCCGGGTGAGAGGCCCCGCGGCGGTCGATCGGGACACGTGCGCCTCCCGGGGCAAGGGCAGCGGGGAGGGTGCGGGAGCCGCTTGGGCCTGCAACTGTAGCGGTCCTGAGGACGGTGGTGACTGACCCAAGGTCACTCCGCGGAATTTTCCCGGGTGGCCTCACAGCACCGGTCTCTACCGGAGCGCGGCGGGGAAGAAGGGCTTGTCAGAAGACAAGATACGAACAAGTTATTTAACAGACTTGTTTTAAGACTTTCTATTATGGTCATGATGACGATGATGATGTCCGAGAGTGTTTGAATGTGTGTTTGTGCACTTTGTGTGCAGAGCCTGTGGAGACCAGAAGGGGGCGATGGATCACCTGAAGTTGTACTCACGGAGGTCTGTGAGCCGCATTATACGGTCCTCTGCAAGAGCAGCAAATGCTCTTACCTGCTGAGCCATCTCTCCAGCCCAGTGCTCTTGCTTTTAAAAGGTTTCATGCATTTGTTTATTTTGTGTGTGCCCCTATGGAGGTCAGAAGACAACTTGCAGTTTTCTCCTACCATGTGGAGTCTAGGGCATCTAATACAGGTGTCAGACCCTGGAGGCAGCTCCTGTATTTGAGCCCCCAGTACCTAGAATTGGGCTGCATTTTGTTCTGTACAGCAGAATGAGCTCTCCTCTGTGAGTGGGCAGAGCAGAGCGGAGAAGAGACTGTCCTGGCTCATCATTTCCTCCTTCCCTGTCTATTTCTGCCTGTGGTGTAGCCCAGGCTGGCCTCACATCAGCAGGTGCTGTCTCAGCTTCTGAGGGCTGGGATTACAGGCATGTATCAGTTATGCTCGACTTAGTTACTGCCTTGGAGTGGGTTTTTCTTTTTCCTTTTTTTTTTTTTCTTTTTGAGGCTTTTGCCTGTTCTCTTCCTCATGGCTCCTAAGATCTGATGAACAAGTTAGTTTCTGCTTAGCGACCCAGAACTTCTTCCTAACCAACTCCATTTTTGAGGGGGGAGGGTAGTCTTTTGGGCCCAGTACCATACCTTAGCTCCAGCCAACAGCCTATGTTAGTGTTATTGAATGAGTAGTTGGCCACTTACTGCCAAACCCTTTTATTTTGTAATTGTTCCCAAAGGCCAGAGAATGAGCCATTTGTCCAGAGTCACAGAGCCTCAGAATGTCCTCAGATCAAGACCTTTGGAGTCCTGGAGCCAACAGCACACAGTGCTGACAGCATCCCTTGCCCTGTGACTCATTTTCTGGTAGTGTCCCTTTACTTCCAACAGCACATAGAGCAAGCGTCCCAACCTGGCCTCCAGACTGGGGCACACCACTCGCACACAGCTGTGTCACATACCATTGCACTCTTTGAACTGTGCTCTTGCCCTGGGCTCATTCCTTGTCCTATTGCTCACATCTACACTCGGCTTTACCTGCCGAAATAGTCAGTTCAAATTCCGGCTCCAGTGCTCTCTTGAATACTGCAGGAGCCTGTTAGGCAAGGTCCTCCCCAAGCACCATGGGTGCCCTCCAGGCAGGCACTCCTAGCTACGTCTGGAGATCTCTTTAAATATTTTTAAATTCTGAGACAGCCTTTCTCTAGGTTGTCAGGGCCTGCCTTGAGCTCACTCAGTAGGCCAGGCAGGCCTTGAATTTGGAATCCTTCATACTTTTGAGTAGCTGGGATTACTGATCTATTTGCTAGGCATGATGGTGCACGCCCTTAACCTCAACACTCAGGGAGCAGCGGCAGTTGGATCTGTTGTGAGTTCAAGCCTGGCCCTGTCTTTTTAGTGAGTTTTATTTAGGACAGCTGGGGCTACATAGTGAGACCCTGTCTAAAAACAAAGCAAACAAGATGTGGTGAGTGAATCTCCATTAGAAAACAGGTCCTGGAGGCACCACACTTTGGCAGAAGCGTGAACCACAGTGACATCCTGTTTTGCCTTCCGATTACGGGGCTGGTGGTCTCTGATGAACTTTGTCCCATGCTTTGACATTTTGGGACTTTTTAGAATAATGGAATACAAACCCTGCCAAAACAAGGCGTATTTGCCAACTGTTGGATTAAGAATGGATCCATGTACATATTCCTGCTTTGCCCAATAGAGTTTCCATACTTATGAGAAGTTAATAGTGATTTAGTTTCAAAAACACTTCACCACAAAACCAGTGGGTAGTGACATGAAATGATGCATTCCTTATCACCCTTGGTAAGTACTCCAGGCTGGCATTGAAATCACAGCCCTCTGTCTGCAGGAGTGCTGGATTATAGGCACGTGCCTGCTTTTCTCTTTTCCCTTCATCACGGAGATTTAGTGGTTTTACTAAGCAAAAAAAAAAAAATTGTATTTAATCAGTATCCTGTGAATAAGAATTGAATACAAAAAAAAAAAAAGGAAACCTGTCTGAAGCCACAAATTTTTAACATTTAAGAGGTGTCCCTTTGGATTCAGGCATGGTGGCCATAATCCCAGGAACTTGGGAGTTGGATTCTGGAGGGTCAGGAGTTCAAGACTACTTGCCTGTGTAGTGAGTTTGAGGCCATTCCTGGGTATGTGAGACCCTGATTCTGACCTTGCATGCACACACACAGAGTCAGTCAGTCAAAATGGCCTAAGAGGTGATATTTAGCCTGATGTTGTTGCTCAGCATTCAGGAGGCAGAGGCAGGAGAATTATGGTAAATTCAAGACCTTAGTACCTCCCCTCCCACAAAGACAGAAGGCATTAAGGTAGATCTTCAGACTATTCAAGGAACCAACATGGCCTCACGATGAAGGTGCTTATATTGGATGGGAGTCTGAGGACCGGTCTTTATGGCAGGTGTGGGAGGAGACAGGATCCACTTGGGTTCCTTATCCTGCTGCAGAGGCTGTGTATAGGGTTCCTGTGACAGAGACCTTGAGCACCTCAGAAGGAGAAGGGAATGGCAGTCCCAGGGTGTCCTTGCTTTGCAGCTGTCAGCATGTGTATGCACTGGAGAGGGGCTTTGACTGCATATGAGCGTGGAGTGAGGAGGTAGCCAGGACTGCCTGCCTGTTTTTGACAGTCCCCTAAATTGCCACTCCGAGTTCACGTCAGGGACACCTGGCTTTCTCTAACATAAAGTGTCCCAGCAATTTTGGGTGTTTACTTACAGGAAGAGACTGGTGACGGAAAAGCTCCTGATTTCATGTTCCATGCACACAGAGATAAAACACTGTATTATGTGTATGTTATGTGTAGAAAAAGTGTGTTTTCCAGCCTTCCCAGTCATGCTCACCTAGCCCCTGCCCCCAGAAAGCTTATTAAGACGTTGCTCTTGGCCTGGAGAGATGGTTCAGAGTTTAAGAGCACTGACTGTTCTTCCAGAGGTCCTGAATTCAATTCCCAGCAACCACATGGTGGCTCACTGCCATCTGTAATGAGATCTGATGCCAGGACTATATACATAATAAATAAATAGTAAATCTTAAAAGAGAGAGAGAAGTTGCTCTTGTGATTATTTGTTTAGGGATAGAATCCCTTCTGCCCTAGCCTGGTGCTGGAGTTCTAGCCATGTGCCACCATGGCTGGCCTTTGTTGTGTTTTGAGGTGGGGACAGTTCATATTGTCACTTAGTTTTTTTTTTTGTTTTTGTTTTTTATTTCCCATTTATTCAGAGCACTTCTGAGTAAAGGTAACAAAGAAAATATGACATGATTATAATATCTGTCACAGTCAATGACCTTAATCTCCTGCTAATGCTGCAACACACCTGAGGCATGGCCCTCATCAATAGCATGCAGTTATTGATCATGTTTAGAGAGGCTAGAGCTCGAAGATCATGGCAGTGCTAGATTCAGTAAGGGCTGGGTTTATGCTTTTAAGATGGTGTTTGTTCCTAGGTCTTCATATGAAGAAAGGCAGAAGGACAACAGAAATGGCAAATTCTCTATTCTCACAAAACAAGAAATGGAAAAGCCAAACGGGCCAAAGCCAGCTTTGGCTCCATAGTAAAATCCTGTTAACCAAAACCAAAACCAAATAATCACGACAGCGACAAGAGATCAAGCTGGTCCTTCCAAACCCTGGTTACATAAGGAACCAATCCCGCCATAGGGGCGCCCTTGTGGCCTGGTCACTTAGGTTTTTTTTGTTTGGTTTTTGTTTTGTTTTGTTTTTTGAGGTAGGGTTTCTCTGTATAATAGTCCTAGTGGTCTTGGAACTAGCTGTTATAGATTCACCTGCCTCTGCCTCCCAAGTGCTGGGATTAAAGACGTGTGCCACCACCACCGTGTGCCTTATATTGTCACTTGGAATCAGGGGCAGACTCAGGAGGGATTTCAAGGGAATCCTTGGCTGCCCAGTGTATTTGAGAAGAGACCCTGTCTCAGAAAACTAAAGAAACGGAATAAGCAAGCTCAGGAGGTTCAGGTTTAGAGCATTTGGCCACTATGTGTGAAGGTCTAGGATCAGTCCCCAGTGCCGCACAACTCAGGTTGTGGAAAGAGCCTGCTTTCTGGCCCATTGATGAGCATGCACAAGCTTCTTTGAAATCTTTGTTTTTCTATAACCCAGTGAACACGGTTATTAAGCACTGCCCCTAGGACCTGCCCCTGCCCATCACTTACTCGCCTTCTATTTCCCATCCTATCTCCACCCCACACACCCAGGGGAGCAGCTGTGCTGGATTTTGTGGCACCACCTGAAGCTGAAAGGTGGAGAGGCTTGGCTTGTCCTCATTGTAAATTCTGTTATCTCCCGTTCCTCTATCTCCTGCAGAGTCTGGAGCCTCTTCCATCTAATGGACCTGACTTTGGAGCTTTGGGGGAAGAAGCCGAGTTTGTGGAAGTTGAACCTGAAGCAAAACAGGAAATTCTGGAAAACAAAGATGTGAGTATTCTATGGAACATCTTGATGTGGTTGTTTCTGGAATGTTCTCCTGGTAAGCCCCTGTGGAGAAGTAAAGGAGCTCTCCTGTCACCCATTGCAAGCAGAGACACTTGGCTTTAGAACAGTAGCTCCTTGTGTCTCAGGTTTTCCTGGGTGGCAGTTGGTGTGGCTGGTTTAAGCAGGCATGATTTCTACTGAAAAAAAAATTTTAAAAAAATTTCATGGTTGGAGAGATGGCTTAGTGGGTAGAGCACTGGTTGCCCTTGCAAAGGTCCTGGATTTGGTTCTCATTACCCATGGGGGGCTCAAAACCATTTGTAACTCTAGCTCTAGATCCTAGAGTCTAGAAGATCTGATGGCTTCTTCTGGCCTCCCTGGACATTGCACACATGTAATACAGGTAAACATGCATGCAGGTAAACACTCAAACGCATCAAATAAAATTTTTAAAAATTTTCAAAGATAGACTCAAATTATACTTAAGTTTAGATGCATGTATGCATTTTTGGTGGCACAGGGGAATTGAACCTCTTGCATCCTCTTTTAGTTTGCTTGATTTTGCTTTTAGAGATAAGGGTTTCTCTGTCAGTCTAGCCCAGGCCGGCCTCAGACTCACAGAGATCCACCTGCTTCTGCCTTCGAGTGTGAGATTAAAGGTATGCCTCTGCACCACCATGCCCGGCAACCTCTTCCACTCCAGGCAAGTGCTTTACTATGGAACTGTAGCCCTAGTTTTTGAGTTTATATTTCTGTTCCTTTCTTCCAGAAGAGTCAGGGATCATTTTTTTTTTTTTTTTTTTTTTAGTTTTTCGAGACAGGGTTTCTCTGTAGCTTTGGAACCTGTCCTGGCACTAGCTCTTGTAGACCAGGCTGGCCTCGAACTCACAGAGATCCGCCTGCCTCTGCCTCCCGAGTGCTGGGATTAAAGGCGTGCACCACCACCGCCCGGCTTCAGGGATCATTTTGTTTCTCGATTATTTATTTATTTTTTTATGGGCATTGGTGTTTTGCCTGCATGTATGTCTGTGTGAGGGTATCCAATCTTGGAGTTACAGACAGTTGTTAGCTGCCATGTCAGTCCTGGGAACTGTTCAGAGGAACTCTGTCCTCTGAGAGAGCAGTCAGGGCTCTCCACTGACCCATCTCTCCAGCCCTCAAGGATCACTCTTTATCTGCTTTGTGACATCTCTGAAGGGTCTTCATCCTGCATCAGAGGCTGGAGGTGGCCATGTGAAGAGGGTTGGGCCTCACTCTTAAGTGTACAGGACCACATGATCTTGGGTTCTCTGGCTGGAGAGGCTAGAGCTCATTCACGGGCAGCACAGACTTGGCAAAGGCTAGATCTTAAGAATACAGGGGCTTAAAACAAACAAAAATACAGGGGTTGGAGGAGTGTTGCTCTTCCAGAAGACTCGGGTTCAACTCCCAGCATTCACATGGCCGGTCATAAACATCTGTAACTCCAGTTTCAGGGAATCTGATGCTGCCTTCTGTCCTCTGCAGGAACCAGGCACTCAGATACTGCGCAGACATACATGTAAGCAAACACCTATACATATAAAATTTAAAAAAGAGCCCATTGGTGGTGATGCATGCCTTTAATTCTGGTACTCAGGAGGGAGAGGTAGGCGGATCTTAGTGAGTTCAAGGCCAACCTGGTCAACAGAGTGAGTTCCAGAACAGGCTTCAAAGCTACACAGAGAACCCTATCTCTAAAAACAAAACAAAATAAAACAAGAATTAAAAAAGAATGAAATAAGAATTCCAGATTATTACACTTGAAAAGACTTTGCCCTTTGTCTCAGACCCTGCCTCTGGCTTCACTTCTGTGCTGGGGTGGTGACCTCTGTCCCCTTTTTACATTTAGGTGGTGGTTCAGCATGTTCATTTTGATGGGCTTGGACGGACTAAGGATGACATCATCATTTGTGAAATTGGAGATGTTTTTAAGGCTAAAAACCTCATTGAGGTAAGTTTGTCTTCGCATGGCACTCTTGGCCTGAAACTTCAGAGGAATCTAAGGCTGTCCCCAGCTCTGCCCAGCCTCTGACTGTAGGGGGACCCAAGCCTGCAGAGCACCTCCATAGCTCATGCAAACTTCCGCTGTCCTTACCTCTGTTCATCCTGAGAAAGGATGAGTCTGTCATGTCTTCTCCACCTGCCCTGTACTTCTCCTGACCCTCAGTATCAGAGCTGCACCGGGTCATGCTAAATGCTCTGGGAACTCCCGGGAGATGACCACTGCATATCACCCAGGCCTCAGGATCCTCCGGGGATACCCACTGCATGTCAGCCAGATCCTGGAATCCCTGGGAATACCCATTGCATGTCAGCCAGGCCCTTAGGATCCTCTGGGGATACTTACTGCACATCAGCCGAGCCCTGGGATCCCCAGGGCTACCCACTGCATGTCACCTAGGCTCTGGGATCCCCGGGGATACCCACTGCACATCAATCAGACCCTGGGATCCCTGGGGATACCCACTTCACATCAGCCAGACCCTGGGATCCCCGGGAACGCCCACTGCACATCAGACAGACCATGGGATCCCCGGGGATACCCACTGCACATCAGCCAGGCTCTTTCTCTGTTGGTTGCACAGACTCTTTCCTGTGCTGTAGTAGGAAGCTGCCTGTGGCTTCCTTCTGTCCTGCTCTTGGACAACACTGACCTGCCTAATAGGGGTCATCAGTGGTGTGCTTCTGGCCAGGTCAACTGGCTCCTCTCTGCCTCCTCTTTGCTAAGCTTGAGCAGTGTCAGCAAAACAACAAACAAAAGTTTGTGTTTTTAAAGCTTAAGGTTATGTTTCAGGCCAGTTACATAAAGGGGTATAAACCGTCAGGTGGAGTGCATATTGGTGTGAATGTGCACGCTGTCTTGCCACTGCTTAACAACTCTCAGAGACCAGCTCAGGTTCAAACATGTCCTTCTGAGTGTGCCATTGATTGGGATGAACCCAGGTGGCAGGGAGCACTAACATTCTTTTGTGTCATTGTGAGGGCAGTCCTTTCAACTGTCTGAGAAGCCTCACCTTAAACACTATTGTTACTGTGTCTCTGTTGGTGGACATTAAACTGAGGGCTTGGCTCTCATGATGGCTGTGGGCTTGTAGCGTGTACAGTACAAGTAGGGTTACTTGGTCAAAGAGCACATGTTCTGTCACTTCAAGGGCAGCATATTGGTCTTCAAGGAGATCCACCATTCCATACCCCTGCATGGGAATAGGGAAGGTCCACTCCCCAGAGCTGAGTGCCACACTCTAAGGTCTTGCTGTCCATTAGACACAGAGTGCTGTTTCATTATTTCCATTTGTATGTATGTCCCTCCCTGGGATCAAACTAGGGCTTCGAGGCAAATACTATAGCTCACTGAACCATCTCACCCTTTCTCAAATACTTTTTAAATTTTTGCCATTTCTCTCGCTATTTTGTTTTGCTTTGCTTTTTTGTTTGTTTAGACAACATCTCACGATGTAGCCTGGGCTGGCCTCCAGCAGCCTTAGCCTCTGAGTGCTGGCCTTATAGGTGTGTGCCGGGTTCTCACTGCAAGGCACCTGTTCTTCTGTGGTTTCTCAGCGTCTGTTCTTTCTCAGGATCTGCGTCATTTTGTCACCAGGGTTGAGCGTTTGTCCTGTGTGTTATCTTTTTTCCCTGTTATCCTTGGCCTTTTCTGTGTCTCATACTCGCTCTCTTGACTGATTTCTGTGTCTGGCACTTGCTCTGGTGTCTGCTTTCCATCTTAGTCAGGTTCACCTTGCAGCTCCATTATCAGCTTTTCCCCGTGTCCATCCCCATGGTGTTGCTGTCACATGCTGTGGTTTCTGCTCAGTGCTCAGGGCACCTCAAGCTCAGTCCTCTCTGCTGAGCCCCCAACTGTACTCCAGCCCAACAACCACACTGTTCCTCCTGGAATTTCACAGATATTTCCTGCTGCACACACCTCTCGGTGCATGCACTTACAGGTCACATGGCTCTCAGTGCTCCTGGGTCTTAGGAGAGCTCATTCTCTTTGGTCTGTCCCTCTCCCAGGTAATGCGGAGAGCTCATGAAGCCCGTGAAAAACTGCTTCGCCTAGGAATTTTTAGGCAAGTGGATGTTTTGATCGACACGTGTGATGGTAGGTACCATGGGAGAGTATCCGGGTGCCACCATGTAGCCTCCAGGGTCACAGAGCAGTCATGTGGGTAGATGCAGAGTGCTCCCAAAGGTCCCTCAGGCAGGTCTTGGAGTTAGCCATCTCTAAAGATACACCTGTGGGTTTCATCACAGCAGAGGAGTGGGTGGGGCCTATGATCTAAATGTGGTAAATCTCAGGACCCACTAATGAGTCAGATAGGAGATGGGCGCTCCTGGGGACACTGGTGAGGGTTCTGAACATTTCACTTATGGAACAGAGGCTCTGGGCCTTTAGGTAACTTGTCTCTGGCCCAGTAGTCAATGATAGAGTTTGACCTGCAGGCCTTCCCTGCTTTCCCAGGGTCAGTTTGGTGCCCATTTGTTGGCACTTGGCTTCAGCTCTCTCCAGTCCCTCTTGGATATGGCCTTACACTGGTCAGCTCTCCTCTCTGGCTGTGACTTCAGCTCTTTACTCTGACTGCACAATAGAATTACCTAACAGCAGAGACTGCTTAGGGCATTATAAATCTGTCATTGTGCACATAGTACACTGCATCTCACTGATCTGCTGTGAATGTGGGCTTGACAGTTGTCACAGATGAACCTTGTGAATGTGAGGTGTTATTCGTGGGGATATATGCCAGAGTGGCAAGGGTTGATGGAACTTTGCTTTTTGTTCTGTCTTACACCAAAACCACCCTGAAAAGTGAAGTCTTCTAAAAAGAAAAAAAGAAAAAAAATAGAGTTTAGTGTGGTGGCACACACCTTTAATCCCAGCACTCAGAAGGCAGAGACCGGTGGTTGGTTCTCTGTGAGTTTAAGGCCAGGTTGGTCTGTGTGGCGAGTGCTAGGCCAGCCAGGACTACAAAATAAAAACCAGAACAGTCCCAAGGCTGTGCAGGTGTCTAGTAGAAGCACCCAGCAGGTGCCCTGGGCAGAAGGCAGGAGTTAGCCTCTCCTCTGAGACCCCAGCCCTGAGGGTTTGGCCTCTCTCTGCAGAGCATCCCCGGCCTTGGTGGGCTGTGAGGTAGAAACCTCCAGCTCAGACACTGCTCACACCCTGCTGGATGGAGGACATTGAACTGTACTGTGTTGCTTGTATCCTCTTAGGGTGATAGTCTTTACCATCATATGAATCCCATGCTTGGCTGTTGGTTGAACAGGACTCAACATTTTCAAAGGAGGGTGCATTCCCAGCTGGGGCTGTATCCGGGACAGAGCAGGGTCAGTGTTAGGTGTAGAGCTGTGTTTTGGTTTGTACATGTGTGTGGCTTTTGTTTTTTGTTTGTTTGTTTGTTTTGTTTGTTGAGACAGGGTTTCTCTGTGAACGGTCCTGGCTGTCCTAGAACTCACTCTGTAGACCAGGCTGGCCTTGAACTCACAGAGATCCGCCTGCCTCTGCCTCCTGAGTGCTGGGATTAAAGGCATGTGCACCACCACTTCCCAGCTTGTACGTGTATATGTATGTGTGCACATATGTGTATATGTGTGGTTACTGATGTGTCAGTTGGAGGACAGCCTGCAGGAGTCAGTTTTTTTTCTTCAACATGTGTGTCCTGGGAATCGAGCATAGGTTGGCAGGCGTAGTGAGTGCCTGTACCCACTGAGCCGTGCTGACTGCTGACCCTTTGAAATATTTACTTTTTAGGTGATGATGCACTGCCAAATGGACTAGATGTCACGTTTGAAGTGACAGAGCTCAGGAGGCTGACGGGCAGTTACAATACCATGGTTGGGAACAACGAAGGCAGTATGGTAGGGCATCACGTTCACTGTTGTTAGAGTCCTTTGAGTGTAAGCTTTTGAGGTGTGCCTGTTGGGAAAAACAGCGAGTTGCTGTGGAACCTGCCGGCTTATGGACTTGGGTGTTATCTACAATTTCCCTTTAACCTCACTAGAGCTGGTCAGCATGAAGTCGAGGTTGTTTGTAGTGATACTAACCCTAGTGCCTGCCAGATGAGCACATTAATGCTCTTGTTTAGATTCCTTTATGCTTCAGTGGAAGAGGTTTGGGGTTGAGGTGGGAGACTTCTGCCTTCTAGCTTCCTAGGTGGTCAATGTGGCCGTCATCCTGTATGGGATGCCGTGTGCTTGGCAGGGGCGCCTTGTGAGAAACAAAGGCTGTGTGTGCTTGAGCCTTGTTTACCCTGGTCCAGTGCCAGCTCTGTCCTTTTCCCTCCCTCAGGTGCTCGGCCTCAAACTCCCCAATCTCCTAGGACGTGCAGAAAAAGTGACTTTTCAGTTTTCTTATGGAACCAAAGAAACTTCCTATGGCCTGTCCTTCTTCAAACCACAGCCTGGAAACTTCGAGAGAAAGTAAGAAGCCACACGGGTCCTTGAGCTCAGTGGCCTGACTTAAAAGTTAAAGTAGATGGTTTGAGTGTGAAATGCCACAGCTGCCTCTGCCGTGGCTGCTGCTCTGAGGATGAGCCCCTGTGTAGTCTAATTGGGCCTGTGGTTTAGCTGAGTGCAAGCCCTTTGCACAGACCCACTGTTAAAGCTCTGTCCCATTGCCTCCTAGCTTCTCTGTAAACTTATATAAAGTTACCGGGCAGTTCCCGTGGAGCTCACTCCGGGAGACCGACAGAGGAGTGTCTGCCGAGTACAGTGTGAGTATACCCGGCCCTGCATGCAGGGTGGGCACAGTGAGCTCACTGACTAGAGAGGAATGGGTGGGTGAGTGCAGACTTCTCACCCTTGGTGGCCTTCTCCTGGCTAGATGTCTCCTCCCTAGCTGATGCAGGGAGCTGGGGGCAGAGCTAGCTGGTGTCCATGCTGGACTTGTGGCGTCCGTGCTCCTGACTGACTGTAGCACCCAGTGCCTTCTCCCATCATTCTCCTTGGTTCTCCCTTTTGTTTCTTTCCTATATTTTTCAAAGAGCTCACCCTGAAAGAGTCAGGCTTCCTTTCTACTTGGAACAATGGACGCAAAGGGGCTGAAGTGTAGGATGGCATGGGGTTGGCATGGGGAGTTGATTAGGTGGCAGGCTCTTGGGAACACCTGAGTTATAACACTCCTATAGAGTGACTGCTGAGCCTGGCTGCTGCCCCTGCTGCCCTGCACAGTGCCCCTGTGTGCTGAGGTGGGCAATTTGGTCCACATTCTTGTACACCAATTTTGTGTACTGGGCTTCGGTTGGTGCCTCCTTACCCTCCATGGCCTTGTATTTTCTCCAGGCCTACAGGCCTGTGGGGCAGGCCTACTGACCTGCTGAAAGGTAAGCTGTGGGGCAGATCTGCTGTGGGGCAGACCTGGACCTGGCTTTGCTTGTTCCCTCTGGCAATGGGAAGAAAGCCCTTGACCTCATATGGCTTGGTCTTCTTGTTCTTCTGGGGCTGATCCATCCAGGTGACAGGTTACTGAGTCTGCCTTCAGCCAGTCATGTGGGCTGAATGGGTATGTCATGTCATCTGTCTTACTGTGTCTTACTGTGATGAGACCGCCACCTGCTGTCACCCCTAGCTTTTAGGTGTGGCTCTGTTCCTTCACCTGCAGAGTAGCACTGCTCAGGAGCAGTTTACAGCCTCCTCATCTTCCTTCCCGTGCCCTCTTCTGCTCCTTCTTCTCCCCTACTTCCTTTCATTTCAAACAGTTTATCTTGGGGCTGGGGCTGGGGAGGATCAAGTGCCAGCAAGGGACTGATCTATCCCTTCCCTGGTGCTGAGAAAAGAAATTGCCAGTGATGCCTCCCTTCAAAGGATGCTTTGCAGCGCTTTGTTCCAGTGTGAAGGGTGCAGAACAAGGTTTCCTTTTGTGCCATTACAGTTTCCCATATGGAAGACCAGTCACACCATCAAATGGGAGGGCGTGTGGCGGGAACTGGGCTGCCTCTCCAGGACTGCATCGTTTGCTGTGCGGAAGGAAAGTGGCCACTCACTGAAGTCCTCTCTCTCGGTAGGACTTGCTCTCTGGGTGGAGAAATGTGTGGACAGAGCCCTTGACCCATTGGTAGTCTCTGCTGATATGGGGCTGAGTGAGATGACACTGAGGAGTTAACTGGGTGGTTGGGACAGTGGCCTCCAGTTCCACTGCCTCGTACTATTTCTTGTAACATCAGTGGAAAGAGATAAACGTGTGTTTAAGAGCTAGCTGTGGAATCTTACCTTCCAGAAATGAAAAAAAATGCAGTGAGCTGGCAGGGTGGGTGCTGGGCTCTCTGAGGGAGCAAGGCTGCTCAGTGTCCATGGGAAACTCTGGTGTCTTTGGGTACACCATCATAGACCTTTATGCCCTCGTGGGAAGGCAGGAACAGGTGAAGCACTGTGGGCATGCTCACCACAGCCCTCAGTGCACAGCAGGTTTATTGCCCTTGGAGCTGCTTGGAGTGAAAATATGCTCCGTTCATCTCTTTTAGCATGCCATGGTCATCGACTCTCGGAATTCGTCTATCTTACCAAGAAGAGGGGCCTTGCTCAAAGTCAACCAGGTGGTGTTCTCGCCAGAGCTTCTGGTTGGGGAGTAGTGAAGTGTGCACAGGACGGTCGCACACAGTGCTGGGGCTGCTGTCCACAGGGAGTAGTGTTGAGTGCCTTAAAAGTAATGTGGTCAGGTGCCCTGAAGGTACAGGGGAGCTGGGTGACACACTACAGGCCAAGGTGATCCAACTGGTCTCATCCTGCTGCTCATGGTGCAGGCAAGACGCGGGGTACGCAGTCTACATTTTCAGAGCAGCACCAAGTGGGGAGGTTTGTAGGTGAAATGTCCCTGCCATGAACGTGGCTCACTCTCTCTAGATGCTGATCTGGCCAGGGCCTTGTGAAAGGCACAAACAACAAAACTGTCATTATAAAAGACAGTGCTTAGTAACCCCTGTGTCTTTGTGACCTGTGGCTTCTTCCTTCAGGAGCTGGCGGGCTACACTGGAGGGGATGTGAGCTTCCTCAAGGAAGACTTTGAACTTCAACTGAATAAGCCACTCATGTTGGATTCGGTGAGTCTCCAGCCTGTGCCGTGCCTTGTGGGGGTCACCCTTCACCTTGGGGTCCTGAGTGCCTGAAGCACTGGTGTTAGCCAGTGCTGTGATGTTTTAACCTAGAGGATCTAAGATCCCTCCGGTCAACACGTGTATGGCCTGCCAGGCTGTGCTGGGTCCTCACACTCAGAGCCGTCCCAGAGCTCCTCATGCCTTAGCTCTCCGCCTGGCACTGCTCAGACTCCGCTGCAGTGCCTGCAGTGTGGAGCATGCTCCGAGTTCCCTGCATTCCTCCCCTTCCCAGCTGAGCTCCCCCAGATGCATGCCCTCCTGCTGCTTTCTGGGAGTCTGTGCTCTAGAGTGGTGCTGGGAGTGCCCCGATGTTCACTGCTGTCCTCCTCTGCCCACGCTGCCTTCTCAGGACACTTTCTGAGGGACGAGGTTCTTCCTTCACAGGCACTTGTCCTTCATCTGCCTTCTGCTGCTGTAACATCCTTTTAGGAATTTGGCACAGGCATGTCTCCAGCCACCTTCTCTTATCTTCCTGTGTGGGGGCTGAGGGGTGGAGGGCTCCACTGTGCATATTTTGTGGAAGCACCCCTCTGTTGATCCGTTTACCTACCTATTTACCACCTACCCACTCATCTGTCTACACACCTGTCCACCCACCTATCCATCTCCTGTCCTTCCTCCATCCACCTGTCCATCTATCTCTTCTCTTAGCCACCCATTTGTGTGCCCACCCACTCATCCTGTCCACCCACTGCACTCCCCCACCACAAACCTGCATCCTGGCTGCATCAGGAGGTGGGAGCATGAAGGTAGAACCTAAAGGGAGCAGAAGGATTGGTGGTTGAGATGGGCAGAACTGGGGGAGGCAGGGCGTAGAGGGCAAGAGGACAGTGACTGCTAATGAAGAAATGGCTTAGTGCAGGTGGCATCCCGCTGATTCCTGGAGGAGGAGGGGGCATCAGTGGAGAGCTAGTGTCTGCGAGGTCAGAGTTCAGCAAGTGAAGATCAGGGTGGTCCCTCAGCTTTATGGTGAGACTGACTGAGGACGAACCTTGGGATCTGGGCAATAGCTCTAATTCTGAGGCCATGTCAAAACAAAATGCTTATTTTAGGAGACAGAGGAGAGAACAGGGACAGAAATAGCTGAATGGCTTTTTTGAGGCATCTACGAGTGGCATGTGGTGCGAGAGGGGACGGGGTGGATGGGTGGATAGGATGAATGCATGGATGGATGATAGACGGATGGGCACACAAATGGGTGGGTAAGAGAATGTATAGGTAGAAGATAGGTAGAAGGATGAGTAGGTGGTGGACAGAAGGATAGATAGGAGGAGGGCAGAGGACTCGGGATCTTTGGCTCTGGCAGGAAGGAACTGGGACCTTGTCTGCGGGTAGGAATGTGGAGTATAGATGCCTCTGAGTAGGAGCCCATGCAGAGCTGGAAAGAAGGAAAGTAGGGGTCTGCTCTTCTTGGGAGCCCAGCAAGCTGCCTTCCAGGCAGAGGTAGTGGTATGTACAGGTAGGGCTGTAGGCAGGTCTGGGAGTCTGCTGAGGCCCTGAGGTCTCCAGGCAGCAGAGGCAGGCCTCAGCCCAGAGAAGGACCAGGAGAGGAAGCAGCTTCTCCGTGAACAGGTCAGAGCCTTGTCCCCATGCAGCCAGCAGTGTCATCACTGTTTGGCTCCCACTGGTTGGAAATGTCAGTGGAGCATCCGTGCTTCCCAGCAAACCTACTGTTGAAAATGTCTCAAGTGAGGTAACCTGAACAGCTAGCTCAGCCTGACCAGCCTTCATCAGACTGGAGCACTTTCCCTTACCCTTTCAAAGTCTACCACAAAGGTGCCTTTAGTCAGTGTGGTGTAGCTTGTGTGGCTTCCAGAATGCCTTACCAACAGATGGGCATATGAGTGTGCCATCAGACAGTGGTGAAGTTGGGAGATTTCATCCTGTCACCATGTGGGTGCTGTCTTGTGTGTGGTTCACTGTGCACTCTTCTACTCTGTATCTGTAGTCCTTCCCACTGAGGCATCCAGAAGAAGACCATCTAAGCTGTGTTGGGTCAGCAAGGACAGGACAGGCAAAGGACCCAAGATGAGCAGAGGCCCTGGCCAGTCCAACACCATGAGTAATGGGGGTGACCTACAAGATTTAAAGAGTGTGTCACTGAGGCCCCTTACTGGGTGGTGCTGCTCCTGGGAGAGTGAGACTCTCCCGTACATCTTTTTTTTTTTTTAATTTATTTATTTATTATGTATACAATTTTCTGTCTGTGTGTATGCCTGAAGGCCAGAAGAGGGCGCCAGACCTCCCTACAGATGGTTGTGAGCCACCATGTGGTTGCTGGGAATCGAACTCAGGTCCTCTGGAAGAGCAGGCAATGCTCTTAACCACTGAGCCATCTCTCCAGCCCCTCTCCCGTACATCTTTATACTGTATGATTACAGGAGCATCCTAGCCTGTATAGACCTCCAGCCTGAGGAGCTGCATGCCTCAGTCCCCTCACATCTGGGGTCTGAGCAGATGTAGAAAGGGTCCTGGCTATCCTCCTCTATCAGGTTGTCCTGTGGGTATGACTTCTCATGTAAGAGGGTCCTGTCCTGACTGGAACACAAGCCAAGCCCTGCTGCACTCTGTATGACTCTGTTGGAATGTAAATTTGCCTCTGAGTTCTTCAAACTCACAAGTCCTGGTCCCCTGTGTCCCTGCTCTGCTCTGCTCTGCTCTGCATGCCAAGGGCGTTCAGAGTAGAGCAGCCTCCTGCTGGTGCTCATGGGACAGAAAGAAACACTGTTTGCTTCGCACAGGTATTCTCCACGTCTCTCTGGGGCGGAATGTTGGTGCCCATCGGTGACAAGCCATCCAGCATCGCTGACAGGTCAGTGCCAGCAGAGGCTCCCATGTTCCTCTGGACTTCGGATTGTCTTTCTTTTTTTACAGTAGATTGCTCTTGGTTTTGATGTGGAAACCGATTTTGAAGTACTCATTACTTTAAAAAACAAGTGCTGCTTGCTTTCTGTTGGGACGCTTTATTGAATTAAATTTTTTCTCAGCCTGGCGTGGTAGCACATGCCTTGAGGCAGGTGGATCTCTGAGTTTGAGGCCAGCCTGGTCTACAGAGTGAGTTCCAGGACAGCCAGGGCTACACAGAGAAACCTTGTCTTAAAAACCAATATGTAAATAAATAAATAAATTTCCTCTCTTTTTATTATGATGAAAGAATTTGATTAGCACTTGTAGAAGTGAAAATAAAGGCACATTTACAAAAGTACTGCTCGTCCTCCTAGAGGACAAGCCTGCCTTAACCCTGGTCTGACTCCTTTTGGTTAATTAGAAGTGTGTTTATATGTTGTGCAGAGTGAGCTGTGAAGACACTGTATTTTATATGCAGCTTGTGTTCTCGTTTGTTAAATGTTACAGAGAGATCATAGAGTGATTGTCCACTGAGTCTGAGTCATGAAACGGCTTTATAAGTAACATTTTCTCTGTGTGTGTGCACGTCTGCGTGTGTGCGCAGGTTCAGATATGCCGTGGTTCTTGTGGTGGGGAGGGTCAGAAGACAGACTTCAAGAGTTGATTATCGCCTTCCCCATTGTTTTTAGTCAGGGTCTCTTGGTTTTGCTACTGTGCTGCAAACACCAGTCTGGCTGCTCCAGCCTTCCACATGACTCTCTCCCCATCTCCCATCTCACTGTACAAGTACTGACATTGCATTTGCGCATTATGCATCTGGCTCTTCATGTGGGTTCCAGGGATTTGTCTAGCACTTACAGGGAGGTTACAATGTCTGTAACTCCAGTTCCAGGAGATCACACACCCTCTTCCTGTCTCCTCAGCCACCAGCCATGCATGTACTACGCAAACAGACATGCAGGCATAGCACATAAAAATAAATTTTTTAGAATCACCCAAGCACAGCGTTTGCCATTTGTCTGCATTATTAATATCAGCAAACTGTTCAGGAAAGCTTAGCAACCAGACAGTGAAAGCATCTGTGGACCTCATGTCAGAGTGACTTGTGTGGGGCAGGAAAACTAGACCCTTGCTCCCTGTGCACTGTCGCGGCCCCTTGGACCACTCTTCCTAGGGCACAGAACGGCTTTGCACATGGTTGATCACTGAACATTAGTACTAACTGGGCATAGTATTGCGCACTTTCCGTCCCAGTACTTGGGAGAGCAGAGTCAAGTGCGTCTCTTAAGTTTGAGGCTGTGAGGGCTACATAGCAAGACCTTCTCTAAAATATATCTTTATAGATATAGATATAGGGAGATATGGATAGATAGATATAGAAATACCTCAAAAATTAGAACACCCTCCCCTAATTAAAAGGCATTGTAGGAACTCAAGGTCATTGTGGCAATAAGGAACTTGACTAATGTTTGAGGAGACCCTGGGTTCTATCATTGACAGTTAGAACATAGTACAGTTCACTGTAGAAAACCAGAGTAATGCTTATGTGGTCTGTTTCCCTCTGTTATCATCTGGCCCCTCTCGTGGTGTGCCATACTGTTAAGTGATGTGGACTCTACCTTCTCAACCTAATACGGCTGGGGATGTCTGCCATGTAGGATGCCTGGTTGGTAGGGAACTTTGTGGTGGGTCTCTTAGACAGCTGCCCATCCTTTATAAGGGTGGATGATCCTCTTTGCTCACCTTCCCCCATGTGGCTCTGTTGTGTCTCATTGCTCATATCCCTAGCGTGAGCTGCTGTTGGGTGTCGGGTAGATTTTGATAGGTATCATGTTCACTTGCATCTTTTCCACCCTCTCCTAATGTTCTGCTGTGTAGAGACAATGTCATTCCCCAGAACCAGCTGTGACCCTGCTGCTTTCTCACTTGCTGTGGGTCGTATGGGTCTTCACCTAATGACCTGACACCTGTCACTTTACTGCAGGTTTTACCTGGGCGGTCCCACAAGTGTCCGTGGATTTAGCATGCACAGCATTGGACCCCAGAGTGAAGGTCAGTGAGTTTAAACTTGAAGACATGCAGTTCTTTCCTTCTGTATGGGCTGTCATTTCTGGGGGGCCCAAAGCAGTGGAAATACCAGTTTGCAACAGTGCGAGCATCAGGACTTCCTGTTGAGTATAAGGATAAGAGCATTTCCAGCAGCCTTGCCAGTCCTGTTCTCTGGGGGTGACCTCTGCTCAAACCAGCTATTCAAGTAGCCCTGTGTCCTAGGACACAGCCCCCTTTCAGAAGACTCAGCAGGCCTTGTCTCCTATGCCTTTGCTCCCAGGGGCTGCAGAGGCATACACTGCCACTTCTGGCATCGACGGTTTCCCGAATAATGTCTTAACCAGGTAGAAGCAATGTAGATCTGTGGCTGTGAGTAAGGTGATTTTCCTGAGGTTTGTCGTCTGTTTTAAACTGACAGTAGCACTGTCCACTGGTACTGGAATCCAGGGCAGAAGCTGTCCTGAAAGCACCTGCGTTTATACACATGCACATTTGCTCACATCTCTTGGAGTTAAAGACAATCCAAAAATTAGGAAAGGAAGGAGCCACAGATGGAGAGGTAGATTAATTTGGCCCTGTTTTGTTATAGGTGTAAAATGACACACAAAGGCTGTAGAGATAGCTCAGTCGTGAAAGAGCACTGAACTGACTGTTCTTCCAGAGGACCTGGGTTTCTGGTACCCACCTGATGGCTCACAACGCTCTGTAACTCCAGTTCTGGGGATCTGGTGCCCTCCTTTGGTGTCTGCAGGCACTGCACACCTATGGTGTAGACATACATGCTGACAACAAACACATACATACTTTTGTTTTGAGATAGGGTCTCACTATATAGCTATGGCTGTCCTGGAACTCACTCTGTAGACCAGGCTGACCTCAAACTCACAGAGATCCACCTGCCTCTGCTTCCTGAGTGCTGGGATTAAAGATGTACTACCATATCTGGCTCTCATACACATTTTTTTTTATTTTTGGTTTTGAGCCTATCCTTTAACAGCTGAGCCATCTCTGAAGCCTTTATACACATTTTCAAAAAGACATATGACAACTATATGCATTTGGAATACACTGGAGGGTAATTGGCCACTTTTATGGGTGCTGGTCAGCTGGAATCCCCTGGGTTCCCCAACGTCTCCCCGGCAGTATTCCCCACAGCTGAACACACTGTAGTAAAGGTCTCCCAGGCACCCTTGCTTCTCTGCTTTTGTGCATTCCCTCCCTGTGGTGACCAACATGAAATTAAGAGAATTGAAGCTTTTCTATCACAATGTCAAGAGCCCCAAAGCAAGGAACCACAGAGCTCAAAAGAGCCATGAAAGTAGCAAGAAAAATGGAGGGTGAGGGCGAGGCACATGTGGGGAGAACTTACCAAGGCTCAGATGTGGGCCCATGGAGTCCAGACACTTCCCTGGCTGGTGGAAGCAGCTGGTGCGGACTGAGGAAAGTCAGCCCAGCAGGTGTCCTTTCCTGGATAGCTTAGCCGAGGACTGACTCCAGAAAGGGACGGCCTGCCAACGTTGAAACCACGGGTTTTGGGGCAAAAGCCTGGGTTCTGGCCTCACCAGCAGGCTGGGCTTGGACACTGTCCCAACATGCCAGATAAAGAGAATAGTGCTGGTGGAAGATGCCAAGGCTCAGTGGGGCCGCTTTAAGAGGAGGAGCGCTGCAGGCACTGTGGACAGGGCACAGGGCAGCCTTGTTCTTTGGCAGTGCTCTGCCCCCTCAGCTGTGTGAGTATGGAAGGACACCGGAAAGGAGGGAGGCGGGGCACGCCTGGTTTGTGGAGCAGAACTGAAAGCAGGAACCCACAGTGCTGAGTCAACAGATTCTATTCTCCCTCCTTAGGAGACTACCTGGGAGGGGAGGCATACTGGGCCGGGGGCCTGCACCTCTACACCCCGTTGCCCTTCCGACCAGGCCAAGGTGGCTTTGGAGAGCTTTTCAGAACCCACTTTTTCCTCAATGCGGGCAACTTGTGCAACCTCAACTATGGTGAGTCTGCCCCGGCTGTAAGTCCTTATGGTGCGGGGTGGTGCCTTCCCTGATGCCATCGTGTAAGGGGGGTGGGGGGTGGGAGGGGCTGCTTCTTACTCTACAAACGAGCTTCAAGTGCTCTCGGGTGTCATTAGGGCCCAGAGCTCAGAGGTGCTCCCAGAGGGAGCTGAACAATTTGGGAGCCTCGAGCCCTCTCTGAGGTAGGGCATGGGGCCTCCCAGCTGCTTTGCTGGGAGAGCATTTTTAGGCAGAGGGTTCAGGATAGCCAGACCCAGCAAGTTGACACTCAGCTTGTTCTAGGAGAGTGGGAAGCAGATACCCAATCCTATACCAAGCTCCAGTAGCTCGGCCCAGCTTTAAGGGGCCCTTCCGGGTAGGGAGCCACACATCACCTTTCTGTTTCAGGCGAGGGCCCCAAAGCCCACATCCGGAAGCTGGCTGAATGCATCCGCTGGTCCTATGGAGCGGGCATTGTCCTCCGGCTCGGCAACATCGCTCGTTTGGAGCTGAACTACTGCATTCCTATGGGTGTGCAGAGGGGCGACAGGTGCGTGGGCTGTGTCAGCTCTGGGGAGTTGTGGTTTGCACTGGGCTGCTCACTTCAGTGGCTTTAAGGTCGGGGACTTGAAGAGATATTGAATGGTTAGCTAAAGTTAACTATAGCTGAGGGGGGAAAGGGATACCTAGCACTTCCCTGGACCACTACTGCTACTGTTCCCGGGCCAGTGTGCGCTCTGCTCCTCTGAGCAGCTAACCAGGGGGGAAGTATTGACTCTGCTTACTGGAAGTGTGCAGTAAAGAGGGCTGCCACCGCAGCCTAGCCATGGGCTGGAGGACTCCTCCCATGGATATGGAGCAGTGGTTGTGTTACACGAATTCGGTCAAGTGCTGCTAGGGTTGTAGAAGTTACTCCATCTCTTGTATTATCTTGTGGGCATTGTGCAAGTGTCTGGAGACTCAGGGATTATTATACATAGGAAGCTTGAATGACAAGGCTCTGGGGTCAGAAGTCAAGACAGGTGCTGGTGGGAAGTTCCTGTCTAGGGCACCTTCCTGACAGGCAGTCTCACAGGGAGACGATACAAATGCTTGAGTGAGGGGATTAGAACTTTATCCAATCTGGATTTCTCCCCAGGGCCACATGCCAGGTGCCACCCTGCGTTGTGGTAGGTCTGGACTAGGTTACTTAGCTACTCTGGGTCTCTTTTGCTAGCCAGAGAATGGAAGGTGATGTTTCCTGCTCTGTTGTTGTGTGGTCTGGATGTGGTGGCTGTGACTCCCGAGACCGCTGCCCTTTTTGTCCTTGGGTGGTGTGTCCTGTTTACACCATGCCTGCTGCCTGCAGTTTGACATGGCCACAGTTGCTGCTGTCAGCGCAGTGTGAGAAGGGGCTAGTGCTCCGAGGTCCCTGGTGCATAGTAGGTAGCTCCTCAGCAGCTGCCTCAGTCTTCAGCATGGAACTAACTGCTCTGTGCAGCCTTCCATGAGGTGGAGCTGTAGCTGTAGCCAGCTAGCTGCGAGGCCCATGTCCCTGGGAAGCCCTGCAGGAATCATTGTGATTGCAGGTCGGTGCCAAGTCAGAGCCAGAATTCAGGAGTTGCTTCTCAGGTGTGCTCTGGGCCAGTTCACCTGCTTTGAGAGTGTGGTGGGCTATAGTGGGCAATGCGGTTGTTGCTTTTAGTGCTTCGGCCTTTGTGACCCATGCCGCTGTAATACTGACAGCAGCCACAGGGTGGCAGTGTGCGCCAAGCAATTGCTTTGCTTTTGAGCCTCTTTACTAATTGGCCCTTTATTAGTTTGTGCTCTTTACAGCTCAAGACCCCTCAGCTGTGCCTCTCTTAGTTAAACCTGAGACACATGTTTCAAAGATTAGTCCAGAATATAGCCTCCATGAAGGAGCAGTCGGCTGCTGCAGTGGGGGAGGTCCTGGCTCAGGCTGTTACAACTGTTTGCCTGGATGGCAGCAGCTGTTTGCTGTGGGCAGTGAAGTTTGGAGTCAGCCTTGAACATGGAAATACCATTCCCTGGTGTGTTTGGCTTGCAGCGTTGTTGGCAAGGGTGGAATTTGGTAACATTTGAGGGAAATGACCTCAGTTTCATCTAGTTTCTAAAATTAGGCAGTTGGCAGGTGGACAGTTGTCTGTAGCCCCGCCCCCAGCGTTAAGCCAGGTGCTCTGAAATTGGCAGTTGAGGCCTTTACAAAGGGAGACAGTTTGAAGTGTTTTGACTGCCATCCCGAATGATTTATGGTGCTGTCTTCTCCGGGACCCTTAGAGTTCTGTCACAGCAGGACTCCCCAGGCTAGGTCTGTGGGAGCCAGCAGTGAGTCAGGGCTGCTCCAGCTGCTCATTGAGCTGCAGGAAGGACACCATTGCAGCTAAGGAGGGCAAGAGGCCCCGAGATGGGACCTTGCTGGACTTTCTGAGGCTTCTGCGACCATGTGTACTCTGCCCCCCAATACTACACTCCTCCCCGGGACAGCTGTGCCCAGTCAGGATGCCCTTCCCACCCGTGTCCTCAGAAAGTCCAGCCTCTTTATTCTTCCTCACCCCTCACTCCAGCCACTTTGATGTCTTCCTCTTTGCCTGTCAAGGACTCTGTTTGGGGCCTGCGAGCGCTGTCCCCCACACTTAGCGCACCACCCAGGATGAAGAGCTCTGGTGGTTAAGAGCAGGCATCAGTGGGCTTTCCTGATGACCACTGCTGGGGCTGGTATGAGGGGTGAGCATTACCACAGTCGGGCAGGAAGGCTGCCTGCACTTGGCCCAGAGATAGAGGCTGAGGAGGCCCACAGGGTATGCAGAGGCCTGGCGGGCCCTGGCCTTGTGACTGTGGATGGCATCTTGAGTACCCATCCTAGCATTGCTCTGTGGTGTGTGTGTCACAGCACAAACATCTTTGCTGTGTTACAGTTGTGGTAGCAGAGCTGTTCTGAATGCCTGTGTGTTCTCTGAAGAGCTTGGTGTAATGATCTCCTCTGGGTGTCTCTAAAGCATTGACAGCAGCCATGGTCTCTTTTATGGACCTTACTCTAAAGTTATGGAACTGACAGCCTAGGCCCATGGCTGAGGGTATAGGAACGCTGCTACTTGGGCTCAGATTCTCAGCCTCAATGGGAGCTGCTTTCCCCCAATTCCGAGGGCTCCTCAGCGGGGAAGTGAGAGACTGCTGCACAGTCCATTGTGGGGGCACCTAGGAATCTGCGCCTTGAGGACCCTGAACTGGGTGCTTGGTGCCAATATGAGAAAGGCCGCATGGGACTCTCCAGAGAGCACACCTGTGGTGACCCTTTTTATCTTCCTTCCTGGATCAGGAACAGATCTGGCTGACTGGGATGCTGGGTCGTTGTGAGTCCCAGGATTATCCTGTGTTCTGGGCCAGCCCCAACGTGTAGGCCTCCTGCTTCTCCTTCCTGTCCTGACACCAGGTGGATGGGCGGACGCGGACCTTGGGTGGGATGGAGCAGCAGTATCTTACAGGCTCTATCGCTCCTTCCTCTCCTTTCTCCAAAGCTAGTGCTTACTAGCCTAGGTGGAACTGTGGGGCTAGCGGAAACTCACCATGGCACGGTGCTGGGAGCACTGTGATTGACTTTACCCTTTCTTTTTAGGATTTGTGATGGCGTCCAGTTTGGAGCTGGGATTCGGTTCCTATAACTTGAGTCTCCCAGGGCAGCTTGGATGAGCATCGCGTGTCTCCCAGGCCACAGGCCTGTTTGGAGGTGACACAGTGGAGTGCTTCTGGGCCGTAAACCTTCTGGGAAATCACGTTAATAAATTTGAAACACTCAGCTGTGTCCTGGATGTGGTCTGTGTTTCAGGCCATGTGTCTGTCTGGACACCTGCTTTTCCTGAGGACTTGTGACAGTTTGACCTGCGCAGTCCTGGGCCTAAGGGCTTTCAGGTGACCCAAAGTGCCTTTTCCTCACAGACCCCTAGAGTCTGCTGTTGGGCTCTAACCTACCAGAAGTAGGGCTGAGCTGTGGGTGACCCCAAAGGACGCTGGCCCTGTCATTACAGGCCACTTCAGTGGCAGCATGGCCTCCCAGTGCTGATGTGAAGGTAGGCAGACGGGAAGTAGGGGAAGTACGCTGTCGGCTGTCAGCCGTGGCTGCTCTGCACGTAACATCGTGACTCAGGCTGCACAGCCATCAGCATCAGGGAGCTGAAGTGTCCAGAGGTCCGTGGGCCCAGGTGCCACTGGGTAAGGCTGACTTCTAAAGATGCTCCCTCTTCAGAGCCAACAGGCCTGACTTCTGCCTCTGCCTCTTTTAAGTACCCTTTTGACGGCATCAGGTCCCCAGATTGTCGAGATAACATTAGTTCAAGGCTAGCTGAAGAGCACACTCAGTTCTGCCTGCCACCTGCTCCTCTCGCTCTGACTTCATATAGTGTTATCCCTTAATCTTTAAAAGGGGATCAATTGGAAGCCAGCCCCTTCCTCTGCTTGGATACTAGTTAGTATCTGCAGATGCTCAGGGCTGTCATAGAAAATGTTACAGGATTAAAAATTAATATAAGCCAGGCAGCAGTGGCTCACACCTTTAATCCTAGCTCTTGGGAGGCAGAGGTTGGTGTATCTCTGAGTTTGAGGCCAGCCTGGTCTACAGAGCTAGCTCCAGGATGGCCAGAGAGAAACCCTCCAGAAACAAAAACCAAAAAGAAAAAAATATATATGGGGGAACAGGGCAGAGTTAAGCCTCCTCTGAAGTCTTTAAAAACACAGGATGTCTGCCGGGCGGTGGTGGCGCACGCCTTTAATCCCAGCACTCGGGAGGCAGAGGCAGGCGGATCTCTGTGAGTTCGAGACCAGCCTGGTCTACAAGAGCTAGTTCCAGGACAGGCTCCCAAACCACAGAGAAACCCTGTCTCGAAACCCCCCCCCCAAAAAAAAAAAAACACAGGATGTTAGCTTTGGCCTGTTCTGCCCTCCTCTCTCTTGCAAAATTCTCATTCCCCATCCAGTCTGGTCCTCCCTATGGCGGTTTTTGTATTTGCTAAATGATTTTGGGTCTTGGGGGTCTTGCCCGTACACACACACACACGCACGCACGCACACACGCACGCACATGCGCTCGCCTCTGAGAACTTCCCTCTCCTTACACCTGCAGTGGGAACTGGTATTTGCTGAGAATAAACTTGTTCTTTCGATGGTTGGGAATGTTGTGACTGTTCTCACTTTTTCCACTGACGGCTTTTAACAGAAGAAGGAACCCCTTTAAGGCCCTGACGTTGGGAGCTGTGGAAGCTGTGACACAGATTTGCAGACCCCATGACCTTTGAGAACCCAGAGAAGGCACTTGTGAAAGTCTGGTTTTAATCAAGGCTGTGCTGCCCCGGGAGCTGCCTCTGGCTCCTTAATGAAAGCAGCCTGGCTGTCTCCTGCTTGGCCCGACCTGTTTGATTTGCAGGCTGCCCTGAGGGCCGCTCTTGGGTGAGGGGAGGTGGGCCAAGGTGGACGCCTGAGGCCTGAGGTAGGAAGGTGAATTCTGTCTCTTCTCCAGAGGGTGTGGTGGGCTGGCCAGAACCAGCTGCGGGAAAGTCTCAAAAGGGGCTTGGCTAGACAGCTAAGGAGGGCAGGCAGCTCCATTGTGGGCCTTGGCCCAGATTCTTTGCAGCTTAATGCTTCATTTCTCCTCAGCGTGTGCAAGGAACTAGGTGGGGACAGAGTTTGAGACTTGTTTAATTAACCTTTGCTCCATTCTGTAAGGGGCAGTCTCTTAGCCAGCCCGCTTGTTCCTACAAGGACACTGGATTCCTAGCTTGGAGGTGCTGGCTCAGTTATCTGTGCACCCCCAAGGCTGATTGTCCTGAACCTTATTCCATACTTAAATGGGTGATGGCACCCATCCCCCAGCCAAGGCTACTGAGGAGCTGCTGGGCCTTTCCTCTTGACTTTGTGTCCTGAGCTTGCCTCATCTCTGATCCCCACAGAAAGCTCTTCTTGAGGCTGTGGTCTCCCAAGCATGATTTTGTGCCATTGCACAGTGCCCACTGGGGCCAGCATGTCACAATTGCCCAAAATAAAAAGATGCCATTAATACCATTGCTGATTGTGTCATGAAATTCTTTGGGGATTGGGAGACTGCTGGTCTCCAAGTGATAGCTGTGATAGTTTTTTTTTTTTTTTTTTAAAAAGCAAACCAATGCCTCCTCTTCTAGCCTGTAGGAGGCTGACTTTGATTCCCAGCATCACAACAGAGCAGAAGCCTTTTATTATCAAGTATAAATTTTCTACCTCCCTCCCAGTCCTGTGAAATAGGGATGGATGAGTATGTTTATCACAAGAAACAGAGTTGAGGGGTGGAGGCAGGAGGCATGACACCCAGTGGGTGCCCAGAAGCCCCAACAGCCAGTTGGAGAGACCAGAGTATTGGCAGGAGGCAGAACCAGTCATCTGCGTGGGACCTGGGTGGGGGTAGAAAATGAGAGAGGAATAGATATCTCCTGCTCTGATGAACTCCAAAGACTGAAGATTGCTATTCAATTTTGAGTTAAATGTTGGCATGTTTTTACACTCTCCAGAGCAGTGAGAAGGAGCAGTGGGAGGCTGTCTCAACACTGCCTTCTCGGGGAGAAGCAGTGGTCCCAGAAGCGATGCTCTGCCCTGGAGAGGAGCCGAGCTAATAGTAATCACTAGCAACTCGGTCTCAGAGCCCGCCAGAGTGTGGTTCAAACGTGGCACTTCCCTGACAAGTAAATTGCAGGATTCCTCGCCAAACCATTAGATAACTTTTAAGAACAAAGAACACACGGGCAAAAGGAGATGCTGCGTGATCTTGCTAGAAAAATAAATAGCAATCATTTTTGAAAAGGAAGTACATTCGATGAATTTGACCCACTGAGAAAATTATAGCCCTGCTTTGATCCGGCAGCCCCTAATGGAGGAAGCCTTTCTGCGTTTGTTGCAGTGGAGATGGGCTGGTCAATTAAAGTAGTCTGCCTCGTCTAGTGGAGAGTATAGCAGGCCTGGACCTCTCCATCACCATGGACTGGAAAGTGACCTCCCTATATTGAGTCAGAGCCCTGAAAGCAATCTCTCCCGCTCATTATCATAGCCAGAAATTACTGCCCTGAACCTGATTTCCCTGAAATACCAAGCCAGTAGAGCGACTGCTGGACATATTAGAACACAATGAAATGACACTGTGGCCTTAATATTGGACTTGGGAGTGGAAATAGATGTGTTGCCTAACGGGGAAGAAGAGAAACCAGATGGGACAGGAGTTCCGGCAACGACACGACACCTGTCTGGTTGGGTTGACCGTGATTGCCACTTGACGGTAAAGCTGAGACATTAAAGCACTTGGTTTTCACAGCCATTCCAGAGCTGGGCCACATCAAATCTGATCCTTCCTGCCAATTTCCACAGACCCCAGTCAGGGTCGTTAGTGTTTCCTGTCTATCTGCAAAAGCTCCCTCACTGCTCTTCCGGGGCAGGAAATGGAAAGGGAAGGTCAGGTGCTTGGGCTCCAGCACTACTGAGCCTGGGCTGCCTTAGGTTGTAAACATGTTCTTTCCATACTGGCCAGACACTGGCCACATGGAGGAAGTGCCTGTGGCTTCCTCCCTAGTTCCAGAGCAGAGGGGTCTCAGGCCCTTGGGCATATCTTTGTGTACCTCCTCTCTCTAGTTCTCCTGAGTGAGGCAGCTGGGGTACAGCCTAGGGAGACACAGTATTTGCATGGCATAAACAAGCCCTGTAGCCACGCCCAGCATTGAAAAAATTAGTGTACATTTATTATTTGAAGACATCAGTATTATCTGAAGATATGTTTTATTCCAATTTCCTTAAGGTTTTTTGTTATTTTATGGGGTTGTATAGGGTGTGTGTGTGTGTGTGTGTGTGTATGTGTGTGTGTGTGAGCCAAGGTTTCACGCAACTCAGGTTATATTTCAACTTACTATGCAGCTGAGGAAGGCCTTGAAGTTCTAACCCTTGAATCTCCTCCAGAGTTGCTGAGATTACAGTTGTGTACCACCACTCCTGGTTTATGGGGTCCTGGGGATCACGCCCAGGGCTTTATGCATGCCAGGCAAACACTCTATCCACTGAGCCACGTATATCCCCAACTTTCCTTAATGAAGACTCTGAACACTGTGCTAGTGATTGCCCCACCAGCCTGCCATCTCACCACCCGGTATGTGTTAAGGGACTGATAGGCAGAGAACTTCCAGCTGTCCCCGGGGCTTCAGTTGAGCATGGTGAGATCTGCTAGCACTAACTCCAACTGCCATCCCTCATTCGTCCATCTGTCCTTTATCATCTGCATTTATCATCCGTCTATCCATCTATCCTTTTATCACCCACCCACCCACCCACCCATCTGTCCATCCCCATCCATCCATCCACCCACCCACCCACCCATCCAGCATCTACCCATTTACTCATCCATCCATCCACCCATCCAGCGTCTACCCATTTACTCATCCATCCATCCACCCATCCAGCGTCTACCCATTTACTCATCCATCCATCCACCCATCCAGCGTCTACCCATTTACCCATCCATCCATCCATCCACCCACCCACCCATCCAGCGTCTACCCATTTACTCATCCATCCATCCACCCATCCAGCGTCTACCCATTTACTCATCCATCCATCCACCCATCCAGCGTCTACCCATTTACCCATCCATCCATCCATTCTCCGTCCATTTGTCTGGACCCAGTCCTTCACCTCATCTCAGTGGTTCTTAGCTTGTGCAGCCCAGCTTGACCCTGTAACCGCACAGCAGGTCTGAGCACAAACAGAAGTTCGCCATCTGGGCTGTTGGTATCTTGCCTG